TATTTATGCATACAGAACTGGGGTACAGGCCAGAGGTGCAGGGGAGGTGAGAGGATTCACCAGAGACAGAGTGGGGAGCAGAACAGGCCAAATGACAAAGTACACTGCTGAGGGGAGCAGCGGGCAGGTCAGGAGAGGTCTGCTGCGCCATGTGGATCACCTCCAGGGAGGGGACTCATGCTGAAGTGGCTTTAGCTTCTCAGTGCTATGCTTTAATGCACTAAGGGAGGGGTCAAATCTTAAGACATAAGGGAGGGGTCTAATCTTACATTTTTAATGCATTTAAGACCATACATTTACTTATAAGAAAGGAACAAGTTTTGGTATGTTGTACTCTCATGGTTATCCAGGTATACTTATTTTATGATTTTCCTTGTTACATCCTTTTTCTCTCATGAGCAATTTAGAACTCTTTTATTGATAGTAGCTTTTTAAAGATTTACTGTCTGCTGTTAATTCTTTTTCTTAAAGAGCTGGACCACTTTATGCTTCTACAAATCATAGGCATATCGCTCCAGATGACATCTTAACAACAACAAAGAATGTCTTCTAGAACCCTCCATCCTCCCCACCCCCAGTTAAAAAAAAAAACACCTGTGCAGTCCAGGGGATTGGATGAATAAAAACACTAAGTCTGAACTCAAGTGCTCAGCGAGCTACCAGGTAAGTGGGCATAGAATTAATTTTTCTGCACCTGTTTTCTCCTTTGTAAAACAAAGCTAATAAAATGGTATCTGTTTCATGGGGTTACTGGGAAGTATTTAGCACCTAGCTGTCATTCAATAAATATAACTAAGTTTAATCAATCTGGATGTTCATTTTACTTTCTATATTTAATGTTGCCATCCTGTGTTAGTAAAACACAGTAAAGACCCATGTTTGAAACAGCTTTGTGACACTTGTGTCCAAAATATTTTCATGTCTCACTCAAGTTCATGCAAACATATACAGAGTCGACACAAAAAGGCACAGACGGGACTATTTCATATTCGAATTATATCCACAGATGCAAAGGCAGAGATTTTCACGCAAATGCACTCAGCCGAACATAGATCCCATAGATCAGGTCCACACTTCTGCACACTCCCCACAAAGATGGATTCATCGCCCACAGAGAGACGCACTCACCATCCCACTCAAAACCTAGCAGCCAGCTGAGACCACAAGCTCCCGGCAGTGCCAAGCAAAGCGTCACCTGGGCTCCCTCACGGGCACGGGCCTGGTTCCTACTTCCTTTGAGTTGGTTCTATTTTAGTTTTTCTTCTTCCTGGAGTTATCATCTGCCTCCTTTTCTTTCTACCCAGCCCCCAAGTCTCCTCCCTCCCCATACCGGTCTCCATTGCGCATGCGCTCCGCATCCTTTTTTTTTTTTTTTTTTCCCCCTCCTCCTGGGTACCATTCGGCGCTCCCAGGCCGTGGCGGCGGAAGAGATGGAGCCGCGTCACCAGCGCCCGGCCCCTTAAAAACGCTGCTGGCTGGAGCCGCCTTCCTCCCTGCAGCCCGCGGCAGGGATGGAGTAAAGAGAAATTCGTCCACCTACCCGTCGGGATCCGCGATGGAGTTAAAGCAATCTTTGTCTACTCATCTGGAAGCGGAGAAGCCTCTGAGGCGCTATGGGGCGGTGGAGGAGACGGCATGGAAAGCGGAGGGACTGGGGAGAAGTGAGTACTCGGGCGAGCCGAGAGGGAACGGACTGTTGGGGATCCGTGCGCGGGAGCGATGGTCGCGGCTGCGCGGCGTTGGTGGGGAGCGGACCTAGGGAAGCGCCCCCGCAGCCGGGCTTTCAGGCGCGAGGGCTGCGCAGCGCTGCGCAGAGACGCGCTCTCCCGCGAACAAAAGGGGAACCCTTCGGGCTCAGCTTCGCTGGGAGGCTCGGGAAATGGCAAGGCAGCCAACCCCGGAAACTAGGGTGGACTCGGGAGTCCGGGACCCGTAGGTGCGAAGCTGGTCCTGGCAAGTAAGGTCTTGGCTGCGGCAGCGAGAGGAGGGTCGGGGGTGCGATAGGATACCGGAGCCACTGGGCCGCCTTGGAAAGCGCCTACGTCTCTGGAGAGGGGGGAGTGTCCGCTGGGTTTCCTCTGCTTTCCCCAGGCGGGAGGTTCAGGTCCAGGGCACTCGTGAAATTCCCAGCCTTTGCTTCCCCGCCTTCTCCTAGGTCAGTGTGGAAGTGGATAGAGGATGGGTTCGGGGAGGGTTCACCCTGTGCGTAGCCTTCTCCCTTGACTCAGTCTTTGATTTGGCCACAATCCTGGAGGCGGTTCTGAAACAGACCGACTGTAGGTATCTCGTGCCAATAATCCTTCTAAATAAACGAGAGGCTCTTATTTTTTATTGATAACATGCCTTCCTTGAAATCTCTGCCCCCAAAGTGTAGAGCAGCAGCCGGGGCTCCAGGGGGCCCTCCCAGAAACCCCAGTGCCATCCCAGCAGCCCTGCCTGTGCGGTGCTCTTGTTATCTCTTTGGGAAAGGCCCTCTGTCCTTGTCAAGGACCCCCAGCTTCCTGCCTTGACTTTGGGTATCCAAGCTCACAACCAATCTCAGCTCTGTTGGACCAAAGTATTGTGACTGTTCTTTTCCTGTCTCCACCTGATAGATAAATATGTGTGTGTGTGTGTGTGAGTGTGAGTGTGAGTGTGTGTGAGTGTGTGTGTGTGTGTGTGTGTGAGTGCATTGGGAGGGCTTTCTTCAATACCCGTCCTTTCAAATTCAGACAGTCTTCTTAGAATGGTTATGCTGTCTTCTGATGATCACGGGTTCAAGTTCAAATCACAAACCCATGCCTTAGTTCTTCCCTTGAAACCCGTTAGTACTTCCCATCTCTCTTTTCATTCTCCTTTTTAAAATCTGGTTCTGTCTTTCTGCTCTGTCCCTTTGAATTTCTTCAGCTTTGGTGACTTAGGCATGATGCCAAGGGTGAGGGTCGTGGCTAGGAAGCTCAAAATCATACCCACCATGGCTGCCTGCCTTGCACCAGGTCTTGTGCTAAGAACTTTAAATGCATCATTTCCTTCAGTACCTCAACGATCTCCCGGGGTGACTCTTAGCACTTCTCGCCCAGTGATGGGAAACTGGGCTTGCTGGTGATGTGGCTGTTCAGTGGCAGTTAGGACTTAAACCCAGACTTGGGGAAGCCACAAATCTGTTTGACTGACCTGAAAGTTGATTGACATGAGAGTTGATTGACATGAGGCCGATTGCTTTCATGCTTTCTGGGTGCTTTCCAAATGTACTGAGACCCAAAACACTGTCAGCGGCTTGACTGGTATTCCATAGTTCTACTGGTCTCTGGTGCTCACAGCTGCCTTGAAAGAAGCAAAAGTTGTCTTCAAACAAGCCCTGGACTTGAATCCTGCCTCTGCCCTTTGCTGCCCAGCGGACTCTCTCTAGGCACTTTTCTAAATCTCCTCCTGCCTCTGTTTTCTGAAATGGAGATAATAATAGCACCTATCTTAGACTGTAATTATGAATAGTCACTGTATTTAGAGCTCAAGGTAAGTGCTCAATATTTATTGACTACTTCTCTTCTTTTTATTTTTACATCTGTAGGAGGAATTTGCTTTTATCCTTTGTGTGTGTGTGTGTGTGTGTGTGTGCAAGGAATTACAGCAATACCCTAGATGAAAACAGCCAGGTGGGTCAGTTCCATAATAACTCTCTTACAGCTTTTTATTTTCTCACTTTTCTATTGAGAACATTTTCAAGCATACAAAAAAAAAAAATTGCAGTGAACACCCATTTTATAGCATTTCGGCTCCTGAAGTTAGACTGAAACTGTTAAAAGCCCAGAAGAAAGGCTTTCTCATCTTCTGTTCCAAACCATCAAAGGCTCTGACTCTTGCTTCCTATTCAGATGCAAGACCATTTCTGATCTTCTTTTGCACGGTGGACCCGCAGATTAGCTCCCCTCTGCTTTACCTATTCACAAGAGTTCTTAAAGTGGATGCAGGGCTCTACTTCTGAATCTTAAATCTGGGATTATTACTTGAGCAAATTTTGACCTCCAGTCTTTTGTCTACAACCTGGCACTTTTTTGATTGAAGTAGCTTTTTGGAACTCTCATCTCCCAAGGGACAGAAGGATCCATTCGGTAACATTTGAGGCCTCCATTTACTTATTAATGAAGTGTGAAAATTAGTATCATTGATTCTTGGGCATAATAGTTGCCAAGCCAATGTGGTAGCTTGTGAAAAGCAGGAGAAAATCAGAGAAGCCCATTCAAAAGAAAGCACCGTCTGTTTAATTTCCACACATATTTAAATACTGTATGTTAAACACTGAGCATGCATTACTTGAAAAGAATTAAACAGGGGAAATTGGTCATTTCCAGTTAAGATTGTGTAAACTGCTCAAAAAATTTTTAAAAGATTTATTTATTTACTCATACAGAACTGGGGTACAGGCCAGAGGTGCAGGGGCAGTGAGAGGATTCACCAGAGACAGAGTGGGGAGCAGAACAGGCAGATCGATGAAGTACACTGCTGAGGGGAGCAGTGGGCGGGTCAGGAGAGGTCTGCTGCGCCCTGTGGGTCACCTCTGGGGTAGGGATCGAACTCACTGAAGTGGATGCTGCTGCAGCCAGCTTGGCAGAGTTGTGTTTAACCCATTGCACCACCAGGGAGGGCCCCTAAACTGCTCAAATTTTAACTCTAGTTTTTAGGTAGCAGCTTGGGGACCAGGTAGTATGGCCTGAACTGGTCCAAGCCAAGTCTAAGACTTTGTTAGTTTGTCAACCTGGGAACGTGGCTAAACGTCTCTAAGATCTTATCTGTGAAATGGAAAACAGCACTAATAAGGACCATTGCAGGCTGTGGCTGGTCAGTGAGAGAGCAAATGCATGCAACATGCTTAGCTCGGAGCCTGGACAAGCTCTCCCTTGGTGCTGACTGGCTATGGAGTCTCTAGCATTACCCCAAGCTTGCCACCCTCTTTTCCATTGCACCCAGCGCTTTGTAAATTCTACATAACAATGGCGCGTCTATAGACTGCCTTCCTTTCCTGGGAGTGTTTAGGGATGGTTTTGAACCCTGGAAAATCACCCAGTATTTTCTCCTTTGAGGAAGATCCTCAGACATGTTCCTGCCTGCCTTTGACAACCTTTTCCCACTAGCAGTGCATTTGTCTGTGTTTTTTTTTTTTTCCTGTTAGAAATGTATGGTGTATGGTGTATATTTGGTGTTGTTAGGTAGATGAAAATGTTGCTCGCAACCAACTGTAATTAATCAAAAGACTCACAGAGAATGTCTTTTGAAAAGCATGGAGCTTCTTAATAGCAGAGCTGTTGGTGTGGAACATTTCTTGACAGATTTTGTCTGTGCCTAGAAGGATGAGACCGACGTTGGAAGGGTGGTGGGAGAGGGAGGCACGGGGGTGGGGAGGTGGTGAATTGGGGGTGGGGGGGTCACATCTCGAGAAGTCACAACTGGCAAAAGCACAGGCTTACACGTGCTGGCAGGAGGGTTGGAATGAAGTGGAAACGTTACACAAGCCCAGGGCAGAGGCTGTCATTTAGAAGTCCCGGGTGTGAACTGACCAGCCAGCAGGCTTAATAGACAGTGTGGACACTGAAATAATATGAACTACCAGCAACCTTCATAACAGATTCTCGGGAGAGGTTTTGTGTTACTTTCAGCCCTTTGATTAAATATACTAATGTTATTATTTCAGTGTTATTTTGCTTGGGATTATTGCTTTTTCCTTCTTACAGAAGTAATACCTGCACTTTCTGAAAATTCAAATTTCATTAAAATATAAAAGGAAAAAGGGGGGAATGGCCAGCATTGGCTCCCCCAATCACTTACTCACTCGACCCATAGGGATTTGTAAGTGCCATGTGGGGTCCAAGACACGGTAGACACAGTATGGAGGAAGACAAACAAGCTTCCTGCCCACATGGAGCCTTTATTTGGGAGAAAGCAGAAATAGGCTGCGAGTGAAGGCTTCGAAAGATAACATGAACCTACAGATAGTGTAATTAAGATAATAAGTGTTACAGGGAAATTACTAGGGGGGCGATATATTAGGAATCACTTCTCTAAGGAGGTAATATTTTGCCAGGTAAATGTCAGAGATCCAAGCAGCAAATGCAAAGATCCTTGGAGTGTTCACAGAAGACACAGAAGGTCGGGGTGGCTGGAACTCTGGAGAGAGCGGAGATGAATTAAACAGCAGTCGGCCTGGGTAGCTGCGCAGAAACCACTGAAGAGCGTTGAGTGAGAGGCCAGCATGAGTTAGGTTTTGTATTGAAAAGGTCGTGTTGGCTACCCAAGGCAAGTGATGGTCGATAGCATCACCCCTCTTTGTAGCCCCTGAGTCGATCCTAATCAGTCTTGTTGGGTAAGTGGTGGCGACCTCCTTGTATGTAAAAGGCATAACAAGGGGTGAGCAAGCATGGGGTTAAGATTTAGCTACGATAGTCTCCACGCTATGGCTGCATGGGCAACCGCAGGTGTAATTACCACAGGCACCGTAATAGCAAGGAGGCAAAGATGATGAATACAATAGCATCTTGTCTGTGCTTTGAACAAACCCACTTATTTACGTCTCTCTGTGCTGGTTCATAACTCTAAGATTATTTTTGCAAGCATGACCCTCTTTATTAATTGAAGGAAAAAAATCTGTGCCTATTCTTGGTCTCTCGTTAATTATTAAATACTTATTAAT